TAAGAGACAGGGATGTGTGTGTGTAATTTTTTCTCTTGTTTTCCCAAGGGAGCTTTAAGGTAGTATAACTGCAGTAAGGTGCCTGAGTGTTGTGTTAGTAACTTACAGCGTTACTCACTAGAGAGAGTACCTCTTGCTGATTTTTGCTGATCCTTTCTGGGAGATTTAGGAGTAACCCTCTACTATCTCCAGAAGGTAATGTGTTCAGACCTTATCAAGCAGAAATAATGGGAGATTTGAGATCATTAAGGATTCATGTAGGAAGAGACAGAGTGAAAATATTTCACTGGAGATACAAGATGGGCAATTCAGGAGTTTTGGAAGCAAAGAAGTTTTTACTTCCAGGCAGAATTTTAGGTTTCACTGCTAACCTTGTGTGAATATCTTTAAAGTTTGTAATAAAAAGACAGGAAATAAAATGTGTAGAGCATGAAGAAGAGCTCTTAGAAACTAAGAAATTATCATCTATTCCATAAAAGCAAACTTAAGGATGTAAAAGAGCCCCTGTCGTTGCTTTTAATTACCCTTAATATCCACAGAGAACTGCATATGTGTGTTATACCAAAGTCTGGAGGTAAGCTGCTTCATTGTCTGTAGACAACTGCTCTTCTACAGTGGGAATGGTGCTTGAACAAGGTATAATATAACCCTATTCTTTTTTTTAACTGTGAACCTGTCTTTTTGCTGCCCCTGTGCCGCCTTGTCTTTGCTCATACTCCTCCCAAATAACCCATCTGAAATTACTTTTTCTTTGTTGGTCCTACATCACTACCTAGATTTAGTATTTCTGACAGTGTTACCTAAGCAGTCTGGGTCGTATATGGTATTACTCTAGTCACCTATCATCAGCCTTGTATCGCAACACTGCCTTCTGATTATTTGATTCATGCTGCTTACATTTAATTTATATGCTTCCTAGAAAGAATTATCTGACTTGTTTTTTACACTTCTACCTAACTCTAATTAAGCACAAGCAGTTTTGTATGTGCAGTTTCTGATACCAGAGGAACAAATTAATCATTTTTGTGCTTATGTGGAATCTTCACCCCTGAATAGTTTTTACCACCCTCCCAGTTCCCACCAAAGGCCTTAGCTGATTAAGAGGCTTAGTGCACCGGCAGGACCTTTTGCTCATACCTGGTGATGCAGGGGTCATTTGTAGTCCTGTTGGTAGAAAGAAGAGGCTGGGGGAAGAGCAAATTGATCTGGGAGATTAATACCTGGTTGTGCAGCTGATGTCAGGAATTTTGGTTTTTATGACAGCAGGATCCTCTTTGAGAATTGAGGACTGCCAGGCAGAGACAGGATCCACCCGACAAAGTGAGGAAAGAGTATCTGTGCCAACAAGCTGGCTGATGTGGTAAGGAAAGCTTTAAACCAGGAACAGTGAGGGTAAGCAACGTCTCTTAAGTGGAAAAAGTGGGATGTGGTGGAGAAAAAGGGTGCCGTGTGATGGGAACAAGAGAGACCTCAGGAGTACTAAAACAGTAGAAGAGAGGCTATGTCAAATATGTGTATACAAATGCATGCAGCCTAGTATATAAGCAGGAGGAACTAGAGCTGGAGTTCAGATATGCAAGGGATGTCAAACCCTACAAGAAGAGAACTCAACCCATACAAGTCCATGCGACCTGACATGTTAAATCCAAAGGTGCTGAGAGACTTGGCTAATGTCCTTTTGTAAAGATTAGGGGAGATTCTGTGTGGAAGAAAACAAATATTGCACCCATCTTCAAAAGATGCAGGGGTCTCAGTCCTGTTAAACATATTTGTCGATGATCTGGAGGAGACAACGTACTACTTGCTTATCAAGTTTGCACATTGTACCGAATTGGGAGGACCAGCTGATACCCCTGGAGGGCCATAGGCTGCAAATCCAGAGGGAGGGCTGGAGGAATGGGTCAGCAGAAACTCGATGAAATCTAAGAACAACAAATGGTCATAACTAGAAATGAGAAGTTTTGACTGGAAAGGAAAACCTTTTCGGAATGAGGACAGTCAAGCATTGCAGGCTTCCCAGGGAGATTGTGCAGTCTCCATCCTTGGTAGTTTTCAACACTCAACTGGATAAAGTTCTGACAAACATTGTCTGACTGCAGAGCTGGCCCTTCTCTGAGCAGGAGGTTGACCAAGTGAACTCTATAGGTCCTTTTGACCTGTTACTGCTGCAGGTGCTCTTCATACCTTAGTAGCTTCCAAAGCCTTACTTCTGGAATGAAACACATGAAAGTCCCTAAATCTTATTTTAACACATGGTTAGCTGGTTTCAATCAAGGCATCTCCAGTACCAGTTTAAGTGTAAATGGCAAATGAACGAGGACTACATAGGTATTCTGTCTGGCCTTCTGCAGCCATGGTTGGAAACTTCTATTGAGGAAAGCCTTCTCTGCAGAACAGCTTGTGTTTATAGAAAGGAGAGAGGTACCCCAATAGCTGAGGTACACAGAAAGCCTGTCAGCCTGCCAGGTGGCCTATGTCCCTTTAGATACTTGAGAGGTGGCTTTGGGAACAGAAATTTAAACTACCTCCTTTTCCATCCTGTGCCCCATGTTCCCTCTCAAAGGTGTTTAAAAGCATCTCCCTACATTCCTTTGCTGTAGACTCATCAGTGTGCTTGGCTCTTTGACCAAGTAT